CATTATTATCAAGTTTTTCACATAATTTAACATCTCAATCAAGTTTAGATGAAATCCGTCAAACCTATGAAAAATTAACAGTATCATTACGTAAACAAGCTCGTGAAAAATTAAAACGTTTATGGGATCAATTAGATGTACCAAATGATCAACGTATTATACCAAAAACACAAGATAATGAAGATGATTATTTAGCTATGAATGATGAAATAAATCAACTTGAAATTTATGTTGAATCGATTCGACCACTTCTAGTAAAAATTCAAAAACGAGAATGGTATAAAAAAGAAATGGTTGAATTTGAAAAACGTGCAGCTGATCCAGCTAGACTACGTGGAAATTCAACACAATTACTTAAAGAAGAACGATTTCGTATAGAATATTATTTTAATAATTATCATTAAACTTTTTGTTTTTTGTTTCAATTCATTTTCTTTTTTCTAGGTAAAGATCTTTCACGTGAATTTCCAAAATTAACCGATGATTTACGTCGTATGGTAGCTGAATGGGAAGAATCAACTGGAAAAACATTAATTTATGGTGGTGAATCTTATTTAGAAACAATGAACAAAGAAAAATTAAGTGTAGATTTTGAATTATTACATTTACGTTTACTTACAAAATGTCATATTGTTGTACAAGGAACAACGGATGATACAGTATCAATTGCAAGTAGTATTCAATCAACATCTTCATCACGCTCAACACCTCGACCATCTTCACCAATATCTCCTCCTCCACCTTCACCTTCACCTTCACCAATACCTTCTTCACCTTCACCAATACCTCCTCCATCACCATCAACACCTAAAGCAACAACAAGTCGAATACCAACAATGAGCTTTATAAACAGTAATAGAAAAATAAATAAACCAACATAATACATTTTTTTTGTAAATAAATGAATTCTTTATTTTAAAAAAAAAAGGTGTTTTATTTTTTATTTCATATGATAATAAAAGATTATCGAATTTTTTTCGATATATTTTTAACAAAAATATAATATTGGAAATGAATTTTAAGGAATTTTTCTT